CTGAAAAATAGTTAGAACACATGTAAATAAAGAAAGCACAACAGTTAAGAGTTTTCAGTGCACATTCACCCCACACACACACTGTCAACACGAATTGCCAACACACCTTCCCACAATATATTCCCAACATACCATGGCTTGTGATATTTACATATTAGTTCAACATTTATGACAAATAATTACACACCAAACATAAACAACATGCTTGATATTTTCAAAATGACAGCCAGTCGGTTAAATTTCAACAAAATCAAAAATAAATCGATGTGCCTATGTGTACCATAGTGTCTTATTTTTGCACCAACTTTGAGACTATGCAAGACAGAGACTGAACATTGCAAGTGGAAGTATATCTGGACAGCAAATGGGAAGATATTTATTAGAAAATACGAGAGACACCCTATCAGGATTTCATCTCTCTTCGACATTGATAAAGTTAAACTATGGATAGACTAGTCCCGACTCATTAACAGACAATGAACAAAATGCAACTGTCAAACATCAAACAATTTATTTGAAGTTAACTAATACTTTTTGCCTTAATGTTAGATCCATTGGTTAGCACTTTGATGATCTAGTCACTTTCTGATTTACACACTCTGTAAAATCCCAACCCCTCTGCTTATCTTTCATCTTATAAAACACAACTGCTTCGCTCAAAGTACCATTCTTCATGTAGATTACCCATCCAGATCTATCCCACTAAACCTAAAATTTAACCAATTTATCAAAAAAATTTTAATTTGAAGCAGTTATGCACTAGAATTAACTTAGCCCCAAACTAATTATTGAATAGAAATAAATTCAAGGTTGATCTGGAAAATAATGCAATGGCATCTTTAATTTACAAATTGTAATGCGATTTCATTCACTCACTTATGCAATAGTTTATTTTATTTCATTGAAAATTTTGTTTCTCTTTGTTTTTATTTCTTTTGTTTCTTTAAAGCTATATTTGTGTCATATGAATCACAATTACCAAAATCTTTCACTGTCCTTTAATTTTGATTTTTTTTTTGGTGAAATAAACAATTCAATAAAATCATTCTAATAAGACATGACATCTTGGCATATCAGTGGACATACATTTGCAGCTGTGACTGCTGAGTAATTACCAATCTTTTTTTAGTGATATGTTTTCAATGATATGCAACATTAGACATATGATAATTCAGTATTATCATCTTCCATCTCGGACATAAGGTGACTTATTAATGTCAGATTATGGTACATGTTTTGCGACAGGAAATTATCATTCATCAATCATTATACATGACACCAAATATTAAACTTAATAGAAATTTCTTTATTAAAAATTAAATAGCATATGGTGATCGCTTTAATGAGGATATGCATTATAATACAGGTTCACAGTTTAAGATAGATGCAACTAACACACTTTTGTCAGAGGAAATACTCGCTATTTTGTTTGAGTTATATGAAGAGAAAAATCAAATGAACAAAAAAAATTTCAGTTCAAATTATCTGCAATAGTAGGGCTTCAGGGAAATCTCAAAGTCATTGTTTGAATGGAAAAAAGTTTAGGTGTCTCAACTTTTTATTCGATGTTTTTCATTTACTTGATGGAACCTTTCTCTCAGCAAAAGTCAAGAATATATAGGAGTATATGATTTGGTTAATATTTGCTTAGGAGATTACGATCCTGTAAATCTCTAAAGGTTTTTTTGCCCAATTAGCCATTTCATGCTGTTCGTACACACGAAAATTTACCTCATGCAAAAATAAAGTGGATAACTGAAGTTGATATACATGTACATGTAGCAATGAGTCACTGGATGAAACAATGAGATGAACATACTAGGATTGGTTATCTGATAACAGTCACATCAAATTAAATAAATAATCCACCCTTCAAATCAGGATGAAGGGTGAACATAAACATTCATGATTTATCAGCAGAAATCTGCAATCTGACAAATTAATAAAATGAATTGGGGTTTCCAGCATGACAATAATCATGATTAAATAATAAAACTTACATGCTATGGAGAATCTCTTGCATCTCTTGTAATCTTCGTAATCTATATTCCTGTAAAAATTCATCTTCTAGTAACTCCAACATTTCTTGTTCTTTGTCATCCTCTGCCTGTGAGAGTGTGCATGATAACAGTCAGAAAACGATGTGCATGCAAACATCTGTGACACTGAAGAACTTATAAATGATGCTATTAATGAAATTATAAGTCACTGAATTTGTTGTTCGATAATACAGTAGACATGGTGTTAAAGAGGCTGTGATAAAGTATATTTAATTTCAAAATTGTTAATACATTGAATCGCTACAGCTGTCATTCCACTTTGCGTTCAATATGGGACCAATATCAAACTATACAACATGTGTAGAATACATTGTTTACACAAAAATGTGAACACACGCTGCGCAACGACTGTAGAGCAGTCATAATGCCATGAGGGTTTGTAGGTTATTGCAGTGGTGGCAAATGTTACACGTTAGCTATATACAAATATGTGACATGGCGGGTGATGGATGAAAACAAGGTTTAATGCGTGATGAATATCATTAGTGTGTTACGACACACAAATTCTCAACTTTATAACACATAAAATCACATACATAACAATTAATGATGGAAGTAAAAGTGTTGCCCGTTGCCTGGATCAGATTCCCAGGGGTGCATAGCAAAGGTGCTCTCTAAAGGACGATCATATTACAGGGTACGTAGGTTATACAGTTAAGTCAGCAAAGTGTCAAATAAACAGACATAATCTGAATTTTTATTTGTGTTTACCATTAACACTACTACTTGGCATTTTACTGTGGAATTGGGATATATCACCGATGTGGGCATGATCTTTACAACTACATGTTTAGTACGCATTGCACCCCATACTTGTTCTGATTACATAGAGGGGCAGGTATTCGGAAATTCCATCCTGAGCATAGAAATAAAATGCATTAATGTACTAGCATACTTACACTCGTACGACATGTTAGTGCAAGTTTATTAGCAAGTTGTTCCTTTTCTTTTTCTTGCTCTTTGCGATTCTCAGTTTCCAGCTGTTTAAACTGTCTCCAGTCTTCTATAACACCTTTAGGTCCAGTCTGAAATGAAAAAAATGTAGTGCAGTGGGGTAAAAAAGAATATATTTTTTCTGATACTGAACTGAACAACAAATTTGTCTACATTGCGATATGCATAAATTAGAAGATGAAGAACATTTACTCCTTATAATAGTTTGTCCAAAACATGACAGTGCGACAAGATTTGTTCTCACATATAATATTTCCAAAAGAAAAATTTCAATTTATAATGAAAATAACACACAAAACCTCAATTAAGCATGTCACACAATTCACCTTCATAGCATTCCAACGACGCACAACAAAACACATGATTTTAACTTATTATATTTTATTTAGTTTTTTAAATTTTTCTTAGTAACTTGTTGTATTTTATTTGTATTGATTAATATTTGTATTGCTATATACTGAAAGAAATGTGTATTTCCTAAAGATGCAATAACAAATTATTAATATTATATTATAATACAGTAACTGTATGTAAATATTTGTGTGTGGAGGTGTGTGTGCAAAAGTGGTCAGACTTGTGGTAACATATTCTTGGTACATGTAGCAGCAATTAAAGGGGAAGGGGGTGAAATATAAACCTTCATTAATAGATTGATTGCATTTATATGACAATGTTTATAGGTGATATATCTCCAGGTGTCACAACATTATATACTGAACAGAGACAAGTGACAGTGAATACAACATTAACAATAAGTGATATATTATTACAGCTGCAGGCTTATTTATTTATTACTAGCAGTATATGTATAGGATGCTTGCAGGGATTACTTTCAACAAAGAGTTATAATTCTTCAGCAACAAGTATATGTTATTCTCTTTAACTAATATCTAATTAGGGTTGGGGGTTCATTGTGAATAAATTATGATTTCTATTTTATGGATTGCTCTGGTTGACATACTGTAAAACGTTCAATCTTCACTGATAGGAATTGTCATGACTTGAAGATTATTGCATTTTTTTAGTTCAACTCTTTGTAAAAAGCACTGTGTATCTTTCACTACTGATTTCGACCAACTTGTGAAATTGTTGAAAGTGTTTCGTTCATGAAATTAAAGCCAGTTACAGTATATGATTCTCTGCAGTTTTAGTAAAACATGTTCCTTTTATAAATAATTCCACCATATTTTCTTTTAGTTTGACGTCAACTGACACAAATAATTACAAATTTTTTATCAATATGAGCCATAGGCGAGATTGCTGCTACTTTAACATAATCCCAAGTGTCTGTTGACGTCAATCTAAAACACCAAATTAGGAACATACCAGTATCTTAGCACATGCTTAATTTTTGTTGATGTAACAGTATTCTTACACTATTTGGCACAAATGCCATATATAGTGAGTGTTATACTTGATTTTTTTGAGCAATAATTGAAAATAAACAGATAAGCTTGTCTATATAAAGTATAATCTGTGGTTATCAAACCTTTAATATACCTGGAAGGTCTGAATAACTCAGAAAACAACCTTTCGGTAGGGCATAAATTAGAAAAGGTTTGTGTCATCAAATTATGTGATATTCATTTTCAATCTGTCCTATATTAAGTCACACTGTGGAGATACATGTATGTACGTATACATGTGATAATCTTAGAGAATACAACAATATGGTAAATTTATTGATAAAAGTTATCAAAACCAAGTTGCTAAGTTGATGTTAGTTAAATTTCAAAAAAGCAGTCTGAGACTGTATTGGCTGAATGTTGGAACTTAATGAACGTTTTACACATTTGACCTCTACCAGTACCCTATCAAGGATTAGCAATATGTACTGAGTCCTTATGATGGAATTGACAAGATAATCCGTGTATCTTTATTGCAAAAAAAACATTTTATTAAGTTGAGGATCCCTCTCTAATAATGTGGGTCAGGAGTCAGAATCTGGAGCTACATGTAATACAATTCCTTCATATAAACTAAAAATTGACATGATGGCACAGAACATCTTTAATAATACATGGAGAGATAGAGTATTTTCATTGACACAGAGTGGTTCACAATGCAATTAGTGCATAAGAGTGGTGTACATTATCATAATACAGAATGGTGTTTAGACTGCTAATAGGTACAGAAATTACTTGCAGTTCCAGCTCATCACGTACATCATGACATAGCTCAATTAGTTTCCAACTTTTTAATTGCATGTACTTGAAAGTAAGGTTATACTCAGCCAGGATGGATTGCAAGGAAAATTTAGGCAAACTAATTAATGAAGATATTAGATTTGGCTACTTGAGAAGCAGTATAAAAAAGCAAGTTTTAATTTCCCAAACTTCATAGTTGTTAACCGATAGGTAGTATAAATATATAATTGGTTCCCAACATGAAAGTACAACTGTAGTAGTAGTAGAGAAAAGTACATATTACCCAGACTAGTGCAGACCCATTAACTGTTACCTAGTGATGATATTTTATTCATACAAATAAATTTTATTATTAAATACAAAAAAACCTTCACAAATATTTCAGAGCCAAGCAATGAACATAAATATCGAGGGTTAAATACTGCGGTATAGATCTGAACAAAAAAAGCAATTAGAAACAAGTCATGTGGGTGGTTTTCAAGTGCCACTGGACCAGTTTATTGATAACGTGCTTCTCAAAGTCGACAATATATTATTACAGTTTCAGGCTCATGTAGATTGAGGGCGCTCTTCATGTAAATATTCAGGTATTACCAATAAGCACATGTCTAAGGTGACATCACTGGGAACACTGCGAGTAAAAAAAAAATACTACAGTGCAAGAAATAGGTAGCCTAAACCAATTCTCAACAACCTCGCCCGTTTAGGTAATATTGTACTGGAATAGTGAGAATGAAAGCAATTAGATGTAAACACCAGTAACATCCTTTGATGATTTGCTAGCTGGCGAGGATAGCTATATTTATTTATGCATATTAATCAGATCACATGACCATATATGGTAATCTGATGTGTTAGTCATATCTCTTGTCCTATGTCTTCAATATAGCACTGAATGTACATCCCTGACTGCGATAGAGCCTGAGGTAATATAGTTACGCATGTTAATTAGGTCACATGACCATATATGGTAATCTGATGTGTTAGTCTTATGCCTTCAATATAGCACTGAATGTACATTCCTGACTGCAATAAAGCCTGAGGTAATATAGTTATGCATATTAATTAGGTCACATGAACACATTTATACAAAGTAGGAAGTAATCAGATCTATGGGTTATCCAAAAGCACCTATGTATCAAGTTTTATTAAAATTTGATGAGTGGTAATCAAAAGAGATCTATGGAACACCAATAAATTCATGTAGGTTTATTTAACCCTGAACTAAACGTCTATATGGCCTATCTCAAAGCACCTATGTACCAAGTTTCATCAAAATCTAATGAGTGGTTCAGATATTGGTGGAAAAGCTAATTATTTTACAAAATAAAGTAGTTAATTAATATGCACGGATTGCAACAACAAACAGATCTGCGCATTATTCCAGACTATCTATGTATCAAGTTTTATTGAAATCTGGGGTTAAAATAGGTTAATTATTATGCAAATTAGATCATTAATATCACATATTTCAACCAAAAACTACCGGTAATCAGGTCTGTGCATTATTCCCGAGCATCTATGTACCAAATTTCATTGAAATCTGTTAATTGGTTCTTGAGACATCAGTGGAACAGATGAGCACACAAACACAGACAAACTAACCGCAAAGATTCCTACTGTGTGCTTCGCATGAGGGAGTCAAAAAAACAATTAACACAAACACTACACAACACAGTCAAATCAGTAGGGGAAAGATAAATGAAAAAGTAAATACAATGTCAGTGAATACAATAATTGAAACAACAACAAAAGTCCTGCAGCCCCCATGGAGAACCCCTAATATTGCAAAATCACTAGTTGTGAACTTTAAATCTTTTTTATTAGGATCCGTGCATAAAGTAACAGAAGTAGGAGAAAATTATGCTTTCCCTTGTCCAGATTACATAATAAATTAATATTTTATAGGTATATATATGGGTTTATGTGAATGTACATGTATGTACTAAAATTATAGTACAACCATTAAAATTATCAAAACTTGAAAAGCAAACACCGTACATATGCAAAATAAATATTATCCAGAGTGATTTCTGATTTGTTAAAAACAAGATGAAATGCAGTGACACTATATCTAATTGGTTGGAATTAAGAAGCCAGTAATAAAAAGTTATAAAATTGTGAATACTTTTTGTGAATATCACTGTGACCGAGAAAGATGCCCATTCCAAAGTGTCTTGTAATCAATATACCATATAATAAATCCACAACACATGACGAAATCAAACTTGGCCTAGACCTCAGAGTAATAATACATACAAGTTTTAACAAGATTGGATACTAGTATATTTATGAAATATTGTAATCCCAAGTGAAAAGTGTACAACAGAGACAACAATGAAGATGGACATTCCTCTCTCGTATACATTTCCCTTCTTGAAATGATGCAAGCAAGAAAAAAACATTCGAAACTAATTTAAAGTTAATTCACTAATTTAAAAATCATGACATTCATATTGTACCAGGGGCCGAAACGGGGTTGGTGTTCTCCCCTTGTGTCGCAGCTCTGTGATGCAACTGTCAAGACCCTTTTTGCCTGTGATGACTGAAATTTATCAACCATTATTCAGTGGTTGAAATACCCTGGTGCACACTGCACTAAGCACATAGATTATTAGATAGTGCAAGTAAACTCAAAATATAAATGTGCACGCTGTGCATGTAGAAACAACATTTTCTCATTATATTCACTAAGCCTAAATTAATTATTATAAGTTCAACCAACATTGTGAGACAAATAAAAAAATCAAATTCTTTCGTGATCGCATCAAACGAGAACCCGTAAATTTTATTTAAACTTTAAAAGTGGTGCATTTCACAACAAGTTAGTGCAGGTAAATTTCAAATTCAA